AACAAATATCCGCAATTCACACGAAACACCTGAGCCAGCGCCACAAATGTTCGCATTCACAAAAGATACCTGAGCAGACGACAATTTAGCAACGTCGCAAAACTGCTACATCAGTAGCGATATCGATTACCTTTTTACGAAATTAATCGCGATTTATTGGGAAAGGGGCTCAAGGTAACCGGTTAGATGAATCAGGTCCCACTGTTTCCAAACAGACAAGAGATGTGAAGGGTAAGTGCCCATGAAACAAGGATTTTCGAAGTAGCATTGACTATTCCAAGAAAGGCAGGCCGGCCGAAGTTCGCAGCGGTTCAAGTGGAAGGCCTTGTAGCGATTCTTGGCGCCCATTATCGACATTTGGTCCTGATCACCTCTAATGGCTATATCCCTGTGATCTTTCACGTTATAGACTTGCTGCCACTAGGTCCTGCCCCTTAAATCTTACCCAGTTGGCCCTCCTTTACACTGCATTACCTCCCAATTTCGCCCAACACCTTAAACATGTTGCTGCTAAAGGGGAAAGAGTTGTGACGGATTGGAAAAACAGCATTGTAGGGACACTCGCTAAGGGCTCTAAATATAGCGCCATCCTGTAATAACTACCAGAGTAAGAGAAACAGCTCAACTCGTAAATGTTAAACGATACCCACAGAAAATGAAATTGATAGTGTGGAATTCAACTATCACAACTATTTCACTCCTTGGACCAATCCGTAAAGATCAATAGGTCAGCGCGACCATCGTCTTGGAGTACTGGGCTCATATCTGCTTTGAAATACCTGTAGCGGTTCCTTGGAACGTGCTCTAGTTTTCAGACCAGTGGTCACTATCTTTTCTACGATTTTTCATCCAGTTAGAGACTTTAAGGCGCACGCCGCGATCACAAATCATGGGTAGCGACGTTGAATATACGAGTGACTAGGTGGCAAAAAGCTCAACAATGATGAAAAAGCAGAAGAAACCCGGCTAAAATGCCCTAGATAGAGCTCGTTGCCAAATCGAGCTGGCAACAGAATACGACGAAGAGGCGGCGTGGTTAGGTGAGTTGTCTTGTTGGTATCATGGGTATCAGCTCTATTCCCTTAGGCCGCGTTCATAGCTTGCGACCATGAAGAAAGTGAAGAAGTGCCGAAAGTGAAGAAGTGCCGAAAGTGCGGAAAGTGCGGAATCTGCAGAAATGCCGAATGTGAAGAAAAGCAATAGATACGTATCGATTTGAAGAAAGTGAAGAAATGCCGAAAGTGCGGAAAGTGCGGAATCTGAAGAAATGCCGAATGTGAAGAAAAGCAATAGATATGTATCGATTTGAAGAAATTGCGGAAAGTGCGGAAAGAAGGTGCGGAAAGTGCGGAATCTGCAGAAAGTGCGGAAAGTGCGGAATCTGCAGAAAGTGCGGAAAGTG